GGCTCTGGATCACACCAGATCCTAGTGGTATGGGATGCTGATTCTGGGTCACACCAGATCCTAGTGGTATGGGGTGCTGGTTCTGGATCACACCAGATCCTAGTGGTATGTGATGCTGGCTCTCGGTCACACCAGATCCTAGTGGTATGGGATGCTGGTTCTGGATCACACCAGATCCTAGTGGTATGGGATGCTGGCTCTGGATCACACCAGATCCTAGTAGTATGGGATGCTGGCTCTGGATCACACCAGCTCCTAGTGATATGGGGTGCTGGTTCTGGATCACACCAGATCCTAGTGGTATGGGATGCTTGCTCTGGATCACACCAGATCCTAGTGGTATGTGATGCTGGTTCTGGATCACACCAGATCCTATTAGTATGGGATGCTGGCTCTGGATCACACCAGATCCTAGTAGTATGGAATGCTGGTTCTGGATCACACCAGATCCTAGTGGTATGGGGTGCTTGCTCTGGGTCACACCAGATCCTAGTGGTATGGGGTGCTGGCTCTGGGTCACACCAGATCCTAGTGGTATGGGATGCTGGTTCTGGGTCACACCAGATCCTAGTGGTATGGGATGCTGGTTCTGGGTCACACCAGATCCTAGTGGTATGGGGTGCTGGCTCTCGGTCACACCAGATCCTAGTGGTATGGGATGCTGGTTCTGAATCACACCAGATCCTAGTGGTATGGGATGCTGGTTCTGGGTCACACCAGATCCTAGTGGTATGGGGTGCTGGTTCTGGGTCACACATGTCCAGCCTTCACAGATGGACATAATTTGACATGTGACATGTACTGCTATGGATCAGGTGTGAGCGGGAAGGCCGGCGGGCAGCTTTGTAGTCATTATAAAGTACGTGTCACCCTCTCGGTGTGTCACCGGCCTCGGTTCCGAGGGACATTCCTCCGGCGAGGTGGAAAGTCTCCCCCCACATGACAGTATTTTGTAGCGCGGAGCTCACAATTAGCTCGCTGCCTTCATTGCGTCCTCCCATCACCATGAACGGTAGGGAGCAATTAGGTAAATAATTGTGTCCTTGCGCCAAAGTATCGGTGTGAATCATCGGTTTTAATTGGCGCTCCCGGCCTCGGAAAGGCAACGCACCTGCAGATTTTAATGATGTGCTGCAAGATGGGAGAGGAGGAAGTGAGGGGGAGAGGACCGCGTTATCTGTACACAGAACGGGAGCCGAATTCTTCATCTCTCTCTCTGTGAACAAAGACTGACTCCACCTCCATCCACCTCCGCCATTGATGGGGCAGAACATTTCCTACAAATCATACGAGGTGGCGAAATCCTCCGGGACAGGAAATGTTCTCATCCAGTCACTGGACCTCCTTTGTGTCTGAAATGAGAACTGTCTGTGTTGAAGTCCCCCTCGCAGTTGTCTTTGTCAGGAATACGCAGATCGGTTATGGAGTCTTTGCTGAGGCTTTCATTGAGCTCAGTACACAGATGTTCTAGTGCTGCACACAAGGTACTCGCAGGGTAAAGGGCCAGTTGGACCAGCATCCCATACCACTGAAATATGGTGTGTCCCAGAACCTGAGTCCCATACCACTAGGATCCGGTGTGATCCAGAACCAGCATCCCATACCACTAGGATCTGGTGTGATCCAGAACCAGCATCCCATACCACTAGGATCTGGTGTGATCCAGAACCAGCATCCCATACCACTAAAATATGGTGTGTCCCAGAACCTGAGTCCCATACCACTAGGATCTGGTGTGATCCAGAACCAGCATCCCATACCACTAGGATCTGGTGTGATCCAGAACCAGCATCCCATACCACTAAAATATGGTGTGTCCCAGAACCTGAGTCCCATACCACTAGGATCTGGTGTGATCCAGAACCAGCATCCCATACCACTAGGATCTGGTGTGATCCAGAACCAGCATCCCATACCACTAAAATATGGTGTGTCCCAGAACCTGAGTCCCATACCACTAGGATCTGGTGTGATCCAGAACCAGCATCCCATACCACTAGGATCTGGTGTGATCCAGAAGCAGCTTCCCATACCACTAAAATATGGTGTGTCCCAGAACCTGAGTCCCATACCACTAGGATCTGGTGTGATCCAGAACCTGCATCCCATACCACTAGGATCTGGTGTGATCCAGAACCAGCATCCCATACCACTAAAATATGGTGTGTCCCAGAACCTGAGTCCCATACTACTAGGATCTGGTGTGATCCAGAACCAGCATCCCATACCACTAGGATCTGGTGTGATCCAGAAGCAGCTTCCCATACCACTAAAATATGGTGTGTCCCAGAACCTGAGTCCCATACCACTAGGATCCGGTGTGACCCAGAACCAGCATCCCATACCACTAGGATCTGGTGTGATCCAGAACCAGCATCCCATACCACTAGGCTGGTGGATCAACGTCCTGCCTTCTTCTATCACCTAGAATGTAGGAAGCGGTCGGTGAGACACGTGTCTGGGTTACCATTGTTGACCACCATCTGAAAATGTTAGTTGCCTGGCGTTCTTGCTCATCCTCTGGCTTCAGTGTTCTCAGTCTGTCAGTGACTGACCCGGAGTTAGTAGGCCTCAGATAATGGCAGAGCGTCTGATCTCCACACTCTTAACACATTGAAACCAAAGAATCAGCATAACAGGCAAGCAGAGACGTGTGGCCGGCGACCATTGTACATGTAGAGCCATGTGACCACACCAAGTCAAAAGGCTTGCACCATCCTCCTGACACCAGGGTCAGTAAAGACCATACCTCGGTCCCATGAGCCCAGGGATGATGGAGGACACATCTTGGTCCCTTGACCCCAGGGATGATGGAGGACACATCTTGGTCCCATGACCCCAGGGATGATAGAGGACACATCTTGGTCCCATGACCCCAGGGATGATGGAGGACACATCTTGGTCCCATGACCCCAGGGATGATGGAGGACACATCTTGGTCCCATGACCCCAGGGATGATGAAGGACACATCTTGGTCCCATGACCCCAGGCATGATGGAGGACACATCTTGGTCCCATGACCCCAAGGATGATGAAGGACACATCTTGGTCCCATGACCCCAGGGATGATGGAGGACACATCTTGGTCCCATGACCCCAGGGATGATGGAGGACACATCTTGGTCCCATGACCCCAGGGATGATGGAGGACACATCTGGTGCCATGACCCCAGGGATGATGGAGGACACATCTTAGTCCCATGACCCCAGGGATGATGGAGGACACATCTTGGTCCCATGACCCCAGGGATGATGAAGGACACATCTTGGTCCCATGACCCCAGGGATGATGGAGGACACATCTTGGTCCCATGACCCCAGGGATGATGGAGGACACTTCTTGGTCCCATGACCCCAGGGATGATGGCTGACACATCTTGGTCCCATGACCCCAGGGATGAGGAAGTAAACACCGTGATCCAATGGCACCAGTAATGATGGTGGACAAATCTTTGTCCTATGAGCCTAGGATGATGGAGTGCACACCGTTGTCTTAGTACCCCTAGGTTGATGTAGAACACACATTGCTCCCATGACCCCGGGTTGATAAAATAAAAAAAACACCTTGATCTCAAGACCACTGTGATCATGTAGAACACATCTTAGTCCCATGATCCTAAGAATGATGGAGGACACAGATTGGTCCCATGTCCCCAGGGATGATCAAGGATATCCACTGGTCCTATGACCCCCTGGGAGACACGCCTTGGGATGATGATTGAAACACCTTAGTCCCATAACCCCAGGGATAATGGAGGACCCACTTTGCTCCCATGACCCCAGGGTTGGTGAAGGACATACCTTGTTCCCATGACCATTGGAATAATGGAGGCCACACTTTGGTCCCCTAGCCCCTGAGTTGATGTAGAACATACCTTGGTTCAGTGATCTCAGGCATGATGAATGCCACATACTGGTTCCATAACATCAGGGATAATGGAGAACACAACTTGGTCCCTTAACCCAGAATTGTGAAAAACATACCTTGGTCCCATGACCCCTGGGGCGATGATAGGCACACCATGGTCCCATAACCTCAGTAATGATGAAGTGCACATACTGGGGAACCCTGGTATGATGGAGGACAGACCTTTGTCTCATGACCCCTGGGATAATAATGGACATGCTTAGGTCCCATAGCCTCAGGTTTAATGGAGAGCATACCTTGGTCCTACGTACCCAAGGTTGGTGAAGAACATACCTTTGTCCCATGACACCTGGGATGATAAGAGTGCACATTCTGGTCCCATGACCCCCGGGATGATGGAAGACATTCATATGACCCTAGGGATGTGAAGGAAACACGTTGGTTCCATAACACAAGGGATAATGGAGACTATACTTTAGGCTCATAACCCCGGGGATGATGAAGGACACAGAATGGTCCTGGGACCCTAGTGATGAAGGTGGTCAGGGATTGAGGAAGGTGGTCAGGGATTGACGAAGGTGGTCAGGGATTGATGAAGGTTGTCAGGGATTGGTGAAGGTGGTCAGGGATTGGTGAAGGTGGTCAGGGATTGGTGAAGGTGGTCAGGGATTGGCAAAGGTGGTCAGGGATTGATGAAGGTGGTCAGGGATTGATGAAGGTGGTCAGGGATTGGTGAAGGTGGTCAGGGATTGGCAAAGGTGGTCAGGGATTGACGAAAAGGTGGTCAGGGATTGATGAAGGTGGTCAGGGTTCCCACTGTATCCTACATGTTCCCTCACATTTTCTGATACAAACCATTTCACACATTAGAAGAATTGTCTGCAGATGAATACACTGCGTATACGTAACGTGACTAGAGATACCCCGCCCCACCCAGAGTTTACTGATGTGACGATTACAGATCCTGTAGGCCCGGTGACGGTTTATTTTCTGTATAATAACTGGACCGTGATTGGATGTCCTTCTTTCCCCCAGATCTCTATGTACACATGACTGAGGGGTACCCTGATTGCAGTAATAACTAGATGGGCCCGGAGCCCTGTGTATTC